ATTTCTCCCTCGTTCGTTTCTGATTTGCCTGGCTGGTATTGGAGCCCTGGAAGAGAAAGCGGTATGAAGGGTACTATCATCTGCGAAGCTGTGTACTGGACATGAAGTTGCTCCCAACAAATCGTTGATATGGAGTAGAAATAGTGTTTGTGCTTGAAATGATCCTTGCGGAACACCAGCATATTTGATAAAGGAATAAGTCAGACGAAACTCCGTCGACCACTACATGGAGAGACCTGTTTGAGAGAAAACTAGCTAGCAGAGATCATAGCTGGGGAGGCAAGCCATAAGATGGAAGCTTGGCGAGGAGTCCATGGTGCCAGACTCGATCGAATGCCTTGGAGATATCAAGTGCCACGGCTAAGGTTTCACCATATTTTTCAATAGATTTCTGCCATATATGTGAGACGTAAGCGAGCAGGTCACCAGTTGATTTCTGATGGCGGAAGCCATAGTGCCTATCGTTGATAATCTGAATGTTCGAGGTATTTCATGAGCTTGATGTTGATAGCTTTCTCCATGATCTTTGAAATAGATCATGAGAGGCTATTGAGGTGGAAGTAGATTCTTGCACAAAATAGCGATGGGTCTAACATGTTTTTCCTAGAGTATTGCTGATGAAAATACCGAGAATAGATTTGATGGATATTGTGGAAACACTGAGTTGCCGCCGTCCTAGAGAAAATACAGGTTGGGTTGAATGAATGGGAATTTTGGAAGAGAACACAGTATGGAGAGTAGTATCATTTGCAAAGCTGTGACTCGGGCAAATAGTTCTCCAACAATGATCCTCGAATAAGGATTCCTTTACCTGCGCTCCAAGAAATGAAAAAACAGTTCCCCTCCTGATGAGTGAAATTTTTAATCTCCTCGAAATTGGATGACATCATACCCTGTTGCGAGTATGGAGAAACAGAAGAATTCGCACGCAAAAGTGTGTCACAAGGGTCCTTCCAGGGGTGTTTTTTTTTTCGGCGACGTCTGATCAGTCGACGCCAGACGCGCCGTCGCGTCGCTGGTATTGACCGGTGACGTCACAAGGCGTCGCCTCAAACGCATGGGGTGTCTTTCCACTCGCGGAATTCGTGTACAGGGGTGCAGTTTTGCGGAAAATTCGGGCTGTGATTTACTGAATAATCTTCCTAAGAAACCACAATTTTGAGACCAAATCTCATTCATAGATTTTCTTTTAGCGGGAAATTTCACTTCTTGTTGCTTCTTGTGAATAAAGATTACCTGTTGAGTAATATTGGAAACATTTATCGATCTTTGTGTGGCTGCTGAGGCGTTGATAATCCAAAGATGAGTTTTAATAGATAATGTCTTGTTGGAAATATCTTCGAATGGTGAGTAAAATATTTTTAGCACATTAGCAGAATTCAGAGCAGTGCTTGAGAAAGCTTCACTTGGTAGTATATGAGCTGGAAGTTTCACATTCGTCTATTGAGAACCTTGTGACAACTTATGGATTAATGGAGGCATTCGTAACTTCCTCATAGACATGCAAAAAAAATCTTCATGCCATTTTGTTGTATTATCTTCGTACATCAGAGACAAAATGGATCAATCAAATATATCTTACGCCTTTTGAAGTCACGTATGATGATTTTCATAAGAAATATCACAATGTTCTGAATATTCCAGAATTATGAGAAGATATCCAGAACAGTTGTATTTTGCTTGACTATTTCAAGTTCACGAAGCATAAAAAGCAACCTGACAGCTACAGCCATAATTATTTTAGCCAAACTGACAGACTTTGCTTCACTATCTATGGTAACATCCAGATTTTGCTAGGCTATCCATGGTTTCACCGTTAAAAACATCACCGCTGATAGACCAATCAGAATTGAAAGACAGCTAACGGTTACGCGATAAGCAGACATTGTCTCTAGCTTGTGATTGGTCAGATTATGTGATGAGTGAAATAGTCCACCTAATTAGTAAATTACTATGTTCACAAAACTGATAGCACCCTATCCCAATGTATCAAGGTGCGTGTGAAATTTTATCCAAAAGTTAATGAGCAAACACTGGGGTAGTAATCCGTTACTGGCGTCCATCCCTTCATCTAGGGGATACTTTTTTAATGGGTTTACACACACAACATGACAGACGCTGTATTTGACCGAATGATTACTCGGATAGATATCATGATAGGTCAGGTGTTCGATGATACACATTGGTTTTCTACAATTTCTATCTCATTTTTGAATCACATGAAAGAAAATGTCTATTATGTTTAATATCGAGCCTTTCATTTCATTTTTCATACAGGGTGTACCATTTGGAAACAAAAAATACCAAGGTGGGTAGTGCTCGTGAAGGTGGTTCTGAAAATACCATAATTATTGTTGGGTGTTTTATCATTTTTCTTTGTGACGACATAACTTACGAACCACGCAGTATATTCTTCTCGAATCTAATACACAGTTCCTTCTTCTTCTACCCAAGCAAGTCACCTATCAGTTACGAGGAAAATCCAGGTCCGGATTAACGAAAATTGATCACATTTCTGGACCCCAAAAAGAACACCTTGTATTTTAGAATTCCCAAATTCCACAAACATATTTGGAAATTGCACAAGAAGCTGAATCGAATGATGTACTTTCTATTTTTCCGCATACTATTTTACTAAAGAATTTCTGATTTTGATTTTGAGGTTCGATGCATTTGGATAGGTAAAATGGAATGTTCTCAGTTTTCCCAATCGAATAACAAGAATTATCACGAACCACCCAGTATATTGTCGCAACTCAGATGTTGACCCTCCTATAGGTCGTAACTTAGCTACTTGCTTGACTTTTTGACAAGAGGTTTCGATCATTACACCACCCAACCACATTCATCCCCAAACGAAGAGTCAAGACAGTTTTCATGTGAGATTTGACATTTTTTATTGATTAAATGGGAAAATCGTGAATAAATGCTTGCCACATGGTAGGTTAGCAAACAATCCCTATCCTCCCCAGGAACGCACGATGTTCTTTGGACATTATAGGGATTCCCTTTCGTGCGCTCCAATCGATAAAAAAAAAGAGAACATAAAGGCTTGCAAATGAAACACAACGCAAAACAACAATTGAAAAAAACAGTACTTGCATTACAATGGGGTTGACCAGCAGGAAGTCGGGTACTATTTATATTCGGAATCGAAGCTAGGTTCGCAATTTTCCACAATGGAGATGGCCATCACCTTTCGATATTGCTTACCTAGGTATCATCGCACGGTAAGCGGTTTTCGCAAATTCTACAGGAACTGACGTCTATGAACTCGCCGCTGACCTGATCCAAACCACACTGTACTGGATTATTCAATTTGGAAAAGTTAATTCATAATTAAAGATCTTGAAATGAACGCGAGGTTTCAGTGATGTTATTCCATAGGCATTTGTATTTCTTGCCAATATTCTTTTGGAATTTGGTGCACCAAATCCTTCTTCTTTTACCCAGTCGACTCTGCTACCAGTCAGAAATTGCTAAACTGTATATACACTACACTGTTTTACCACTAACCAAACCGATTTTTTTAACGCCTCGACACGTGTTTCGCTAACTATGTTAGCATCTTCAGGAGAAGATTAAAACAGTTTTAATCTTCTCCAATGCAAGTGTTCATGATATGCAATACTATGGCTTTTATTTTTTTTTCTCGAAAACGAAGCTGGATATGAAGGAAATGCAGAAGACCAAAAAGTTGTATTTTGAGTTGCTCAATCTAAACAAAATAAAAATTCACCAAAAAAAGACAGTGGCGTACTTTTTTTTCACAATATTGATGGCTGTGGTGCCCATTGAGACGCCACTGGTCCCAATAATTTCAATATAAATAGGGCTAAATAAGCGCCTTATTAGTTCAAATGAAAGTACCAAATTTCAACCAAATCGGTTCTAGGATACTCATGATAATTACCGTTTATTTTCTTTAATTTCAACGCCCTGTATCTCAGAAACGAAGCAACTCCGGACATATGTTTATGAGAACTTTTCTTCCTAAAATGACCTAACGAATCACCACCTGCAGTTAGGAACCGTAGTTAGGAAACACCCTGTATATCACATTCACCAATAGATTCATCTATTTGTTCGGTTTGAAAATTCAAATAAGTCAACATATGCAAATGCATCACATGAAAATTTTATGAGTTTTTTTCGCTTGAATATACTGAAGTTGTTTTCTAATCTCATACAGACTGGCAAACGATCGAAAAATTGGATTCCCTTGTACAGTAGGCTTTTTTCATACAAACTAGTTCCATGTTTTGGTGGCCTAATATGTTTCGAAGATCGAGTAGGATAATCATTTGTATATGTATATGTATGTATAGAATGAAACGTTAAAATTTCATGTTCCTTGAAATGGTTTCGATAAGTTTTTTTACGGTCTATTTTGAAACCTATAGTCGTCGTCAGCATGTCACATGACATAGTAAACCTCTGAAGAAAATAATCAAAATTTACTCAAATTAATGGTTGCCATATTTTTTGTTGTCATTGTTCTTCATACTCGCAAGACTTGTAAAGTTGGCTACCAGAGGCCGCATACTTCGTGATTCTCGCGAATAGATTACGTATGTATTTGTGACAAAAAATTAACGAATCCATCGACAAGATGACCTATATCACTGTTGAAACAATTTAATTTGATGACCCAAAAAGTTGCCGAATTCGTTAAGAGCTAGACCATCATTTCTGACCAATTCTCATGTGAATTTACACCTTACACTTCAGATGCATCATATAGGTACACTTGTTCAAATGACCCGCTAGGGGTGAAAGATATACAAAGGGGTGCGCCACCTTGCATGATACGCAAACAGGGAGAAAATTTCACGGAGGGTGATTTTGTGAAAAGGAGGCGATAAAGAATTCATGAAATCATCAAAGCCAAACGCATAGGGTGAATAATCGATATAGGATGTACCACAACTTGAAAGACTGAGCAAATGTCGAAAGATTTGAATTGTTGGTCGGGTCTAATCATCTCTTTTTTTTTTCAGTCTGACGGAAATACGTCATTTTTGCGAGCTGCCCGTAATGGCCACATAGACAAAGTTCTGGAACACCTGAAATCGAATATCGACATCAATACCAGCAACGCAGTAAGTAATCATTCGAATCTAATTTGACCGTCGATTAAATATTTTAATGAATACCAAAGACTGCAACTGTTTTTGACATAAAAATCTCATCATTCTCAACCTGCAAATACTTCTCTAGGGACCTGCCAGGAACCACCTTCAGTTAGAAAAAAAAATAACCATCTTCATCAAAATATACGTCTTCTCTCATCATCTAACTCACAACGAACCTCCTAGGTCATGTGATTTATATAATGTTGGACCTTAATGACTCACAGTTAAGATCTTATCAGAACAAAACTGTTTTGCCTCAGTCTATGAATTCTGAAAACCGTCAGTTTTTCCTGGCAATGTCTGGAATGAGAACCACCTTGACCTCAAGTCTTCGATTGGACCTGATATTATGGACTTTTTTGTAATAAAACAATCACCGTCTTCATCAGAAGACGTCTTTCAGAATATAATTTTCACTATCAAACACACAAGTGACATCCTAGGTCACGTGATTCAGATGAAGTGCGACCTCAGAAAACTTGATGATGATTCACAGGACCAGACCCAGTGTGGGTTTAGATCTCATCAGAACAAAACTGTTCCACCTCAGTCTAGGAGTTCTGAAACGTTCAGTGTAAGTTCTCTCCTAGCAGTGTCTATAGAATGATATCAACCTTGACGTTAGGGCTTTAATTTGACCTTATAATGTGGACTTTATTGCCTTTAGTGAGACTGCAAGTGCTAGTGAAATCTCATCTCTTCATTCTCACCCCGCAAATACATGTCTCAGGGGACCTGCAAGAGGTTGAACCACCAGGAACCATCTACAGAAATGAAACAATAACCATCTTCATCAGAGGTCGTCTCTCAGAAGACAATTATCATAATTGATTCCACTATTCTACCTGTTTGGGAGTTTAATAAGCGTTCAGTCTAACTTTTTCCCAGACAATGTCCAGTAAGAGAATTACTTTGACACTAAAAGTCTTCAATTGGACCCCATATTGTGAACTTAAAACTCTGTAACAAGCCTTCGATTATTTAGTATTAGGACATATGAAATAGCACATTGTGAGAACCTTTATGTGATAAATGTCTTCTACTTCTATAGATATTGACTTCTGATGAAGCATTTACCTAACGTTTATCCTTTTTACTCCTCCAAGAATATATACAATGATGAAGGGATTACTTGTTTAATTCAATTACAACTTCCTCTGCCTCAGAAAGAAAATATTAGGACATATTTTTGTCCATGTGAACTTTCATTCCTGGAATGAACTGAAGAATCACCTTCTTCAATATAGACAAGATATCTAGGAGAACCCTGTATATAAATATCTGGTTTATTGAGATTTATGAGTTCTTTAACCAATTAACGATATACTTTGGACTTCGGAAGTCGAACCTGAGAAACTTCACATCTAGAGGAAAACTTCTCGACCTCAAATCTCATCCATTGTTTCCAGAATGGCCTCAACGCCCTGCACCTCGCCTCCAAAGATGGTCACGTGGACATCGTGGAGCAGCTGCTCAAGCGTGGCGCGATCGTCGACGCTGCCACGAAGAAAGGCAACACCGCGCTGCACATCGCGTCGCTGGCCGGCCAGGAAGAGGTGGTCAGACTGCTGGTGCAGCACCACGCCTCGGTCAACGTGCAGAGCCAGAACGGCTTCACGCCCCTGTATATGGCCGCCCAGGAGAACCACGACAACGTCGTCAGGTACCTGCTGGCGAACGGGGCTAACCAGAGTCTCTCCACAGAGGTAAGAAAAATTACGGGGATATCCGACTTTTTTAGGGAAATGTGGCAACATCGCATTTTTCGAAAATGCCTGAAACCATCGCGAATTATTCGGAAATGTATGGCAAAGTAATTTTTCTGGCATCACCCTATTCTTGGAGGAATGTATGGCAGCATCGATTTATTTGATAATAACATCACATCATCAGAATATGCAACAAAACAATATTACCCTTTTCGAATGATGTGTGCCATTGCTATCATGAAAAACACATGACAATGAGTATTATGTTTTTTTGAGTTCATAGCATCATTTCATTTCTGGAAAAATTTATGACACCATCGTGATATTTTCAAAAATACTTGCGGAATACATTGCGACATTGTATTTTTGAAGAATTCATGTTTTTTTGAAAAAAGAGCATGGCAACGTCGCATTTTTCTGAAAAATGCATGGTGCCATGAATATTTTTGGAAAGGCGTAAAAATCCACTCATTGTTTGAAGAAATAGATAGAGGAAGAATAAGGCAGTTTTCAGAGGATAGAAAAACTGTTTCTTCAAAAATATTTATCACCATGGGATTTGTGTGTTCAATATCTCTGTATTATATTAGAATTTCAAGAAATCTTTTCCACTTAAAACTTTGAGAACAGAAACGAAGAACATCTGGCATCGATATATGTTACTGTGGAACTAAGTTAGCAGTGAGCCCTAGAGACTCCATAAAACTTTATTGTTCGAGAGAAAGTTTCTGACTAATGAAAAGCGATTTCAAATTTCCCCAATATAAAGTGTCCATTCTATACTTCAGAACTCCATTTAATCAGTGCAGTTTACTTTCATAACATTTGTTTGTTTCAGGATGGGTTTACCCCACTTGCGGTGGCAATGCAGCAAGGACATGATAAAGTAGTGACAGTATTACTAGAAAACGACACTAGAGGCAAAATCAGACTTCCAGCTCTACACATCGCTGCCAAGAAGGACGACGTCAAGGCAGCCAAGCTCCTACTAGAGGTATGCATCAATACGACCCTATTTCGATAATAATGATAATATCATGATGGTGAACGATGTTACATCGATCAATGTATTGGCTAATATCTCCACCGATACCATTTATTTCCTCCAGAATGAACACAACCCAGACGTTACTTCGAAATCAGGCTTCACTCCACTCCACATAGCCTCACACTACGGCAACCAGCAAATCGCCAACCTGCTAGTACAGAAAGGAGCCGACGTTAATTATTCAGCAAAACACAACATCACTCCCCTACACGTGGCTGCCAAATGGGGGAAAGCCAATATGGTAGCACTGCTTTTAGAGCACGGAGCTACCATAGAAGCCAAAACCAGGGACGGCCTAACGCCACTACACTGTGCTGCCAGATCTGGTCACGAACAGGTGGTTGACATGTTACTGGAGAGAGGAGCACCCATCAGTTCCAAGACCAAGGTAAAAAATAAAGTTCAGAGTTGTCCACATCCCTTCAATATGCGTTTTTTCAGAATGGTCTCGCCCCACTACACATGGCTGCCCAGGGAGACCATGTGGATGCAGCTCGCATACTCCTCTACCATCGGGCGCCTGTCGATGAGGTCACTGTGGACTATTTGACAGCCCTTCATGTAGCTGCCCATTGTGGGCATGCTCGCGTTGCAAAGCTGCTCCTGGACAGACAGGCAGACGCGAATGCTAGAGCTTTGAATGGCTTCACGCCGTTACATATAGCTTGCAAAAAGAACAGGATAAAAGTGGTGGAGTTATTGCTCAAACACGGAGCCAGTAAGTATCCTCAGGACATTATGGTGTTAGGTTGAGTCTAATGGAGCATTGACGAATGTATCCACGTATACCTAGACTAAGAGAAAACTGAACTATTCATGTTTCAAAGGTATCGGAGCGACGACTGAAAGTGGACTGACTCCACTGCACGTAGCCAGCTTCATGGGTTGCATGAACATCGTCATATACCTTCTCCAACACGATGCCAATCCAGACGTACCGACTGTTAGAGGAGAAACTCCATTACATCTAGCTGCCAGAGCGAATCAGGTAGATACATGAACAACTTACTTAAGCTTCATGTTGAAAATACGGCCTATCGAGGGTGTTAACTTCTATACCGAGCATGAATATTTTATTTTCAGACCGACATCATAAGGATTTTGCTTCGAAACGGTGCTCAGGTTGATGCTAGAGCGAGAGAACAGCAAACGCCTCTTCATATAGCTTCCCGCCTAGGCAATGTCGATATAGTTATGCTTCTGCTTCAGCATGGTGCCAAAGTGGATAACACTACCAAAGACATGTATACAGCTCTGCATATAGCTGCCAAAGAAGGTCAAGACGAGGTAGGACAAATATCACATACCTAAGTACATTAGTATTGTTAATGATCAATTCAATGTAGGTCGCTGCAGTTCTATTAGACAACGGTGCTTCGCTAGATGCCACTACGAAAAAAGGCTTCACTCCACTTCATCTAGCCGCTAAGTACGGACATCTCAAGGTGGCTAAGCTTCTTCTCCAAAAAGAAGCACCAGTTGATGCTCAGGGCAAGAACGGAGTGACTCCATTACATGTAGCTTCCCATTATGATCACCAAAACGTAGCTCTACTACTACTGGACAAAGGTAAACTTTAGGTCATCCAAATCTGGCTAATGACTGACTTTTTGATGTTCTCTCAGGTGCTTCTCCACACGCTATAGCCAAAAATGGCCACACTCCCCTCCACATAGCTGGAAGAAAAAATCAAATGGACATTGCAAATACCCTCCTGGAGTATGGAGCGCAGCCGAATGCAGAAAGTAAAGCTGGGTTCACACCTTTACACCTCAGCGCTCAAGAAGGCCACGGAGAAATGTCAGCTCTGCTTCTGGAGCATAAAGCAGATGCCAACCATGAAGCGAAGGTACGACAGGTCTACCAACTAACCCATTTTTCCTTAACAACTCATTCACTCTTTACAGAATGGTCTTACACCGTTGCACCTTTGTGCCCAAGAGGATCGAGTACCTGTGGCTGAGGTCCTGGTGAAGAACGGGGCTGAGGTCAATGCCCCCACTAAAGGGGGCTACACGCCTTTGCATATAGCCAGCCACTACGGCCAGACCAGCATGGTGAGGTTCCTTTTGCAGAACGGTGCTAACATTGAATCGACGACGTCTCTGAAGTATACGCCCCTTCATCAGGCAGCGCAGCAGGGTCACGCGAATATAGTCAATATATTGTTGGAGAATAATGCCGATCCGAATGCTGTCACGATGGTGAGTATGCAGCAGCATGGTCGATATACAGGGTGTGAATTGGCAGATGTATTGAATAGTGTCGTGATAATTTCACATATTCGGATACGGCCCTGTCCTTCGCTACAGGAAACTAAAGAATTTTGGAATTTTCAAAAGGATCCAAAATGAACAAAACCTTCTTTTCACCTTCGACAGCAGATGCATGGAGATGATGTCATTACCTAGAGATATTTTTCAAATTGTCTTCTTATCTCTTTTATTTACAGAGTGATCTCAAAAAAGTGACTTTCTCTTTTTGCAGTACTAACATTATTCCTTGTCAACCAATTTCCAAAACATCAGGCTCATTTTGAAGCTGAATCTTCAGATGAAGAGATAGGAAGAGCAGAATTGACTCAGGATGGAAATTATACAGTGTGTGTCACTTCCAATGGAAGCGCCCCTGTATATCTTTCGTATTTGTTGAGTTAGGATTCTGAAATTTGCAGGAGCAGTAGATATACTGAAAATACACCCTATGACCAGGAAGAGTCATCTCCATCAATATAGACTGCTTACCAGGAGGTTT